GGAGAGCAGGCTCCCGCTGAGCAGGGAGCCTGATGCAGGACTCCATCCCAGGACCCTGGGATCATTGTCTGAACTAAAGGCAGATGCTTAGCCAACTGAGCCACCCAGGCACCTCCCCCAAAGGAATTTGTGTATGTTGAAGTAGATTTATAGGATCCTGGAGGGTTGAGCTAAGATTGCCTTTTGTCCTTAGCAAAGTATTAACATGGGGGAAGTTGAGTCCCTAGAGGAAGATAGTGCACTGTTTGAAGGACTTGTCAATGGGCTGTAGGTAGTAAGGAAATTTAATAATTTTTCTTCTCCCTTTGTTTCCCACATCAGACCTGTTGCATCCACTGTGAACACAAGTCATAGCGTTTTTTTTTTTTTTTTAAGATTTTATTTATTTATTTGACACACAGAGAGAGATCACAAGTAGGCAGAGAGGCAGGCAGAGAGAGGGGGAAGCAGACTCCCTGCCAAGCAGAGAGCCCAATGCGATGCGGGGGGGTTTAATCCCAGGACCCTGAGATCATGACTTGAGCCAAAGGCAGAGGCTTTAACCCACTGAGCCACCCAGGCGCCCCAAGTCATAGCCTTTTATCCTAGGAATACAAACCAGGGCAAAATTTTCATCACAAGAGAAATGAAAAACAAAGAAAATCTGTGAGCTCTCAGGAGGGAGCGGCAGGGTGGGTTGCAGTGTTGTTGACTGAAGCAGAACTGACACTGGACTTGTGCCTTCCTGGGAAAGAGGTCCAGTCCCCAGTCCAAATAATTGCCACCTTCCAGACATTTTCTTTATGCTACATCTAGGAATCTGGAGGCCTCATTTTCTGACTGTGCGAAGAGAGGCTTAGAATGATGGGACTTGCTCAAGGCCTTGTGACTTAAAGCCGAGATTCCTTTAAGCCCTAATTAATATGAAAGCTCTTAACATGAGAATGGAGAGAAGAAGGAGGTGAGTAGGAGGGAGGAGATGGAGAAGGAGGTGTCACGTGCTCTTGGCAGGCTGGGGAACTGACAGGTGTGGGGCACCCGGAAACCTTTCGGGGAGGGTAGGGGAGTCTGTTGAGGAAAGAGGAGATGGAGGCTGGGGCCTAGCTGGTTTATTTTCAGAGCTGCTATCTTTGTCTGCATCTGCTAAATTATTAAACTGATATCACATCCTAGGGGGGTGCCAGGCCAGGTTGCCAGGAAGAGACTGAAAAGGAGGGGCTGCATCTTTTGGTGAGGCCTTGAATCTTCTAGGCTGAGACTGGGATGCCAGCAGACTCCTCAGGCCTCGACCTCCTGCCCCACTCCACTCTCAGCTGATGCAGGGGAATCCTGTCTTGGGCCCTAGCTTCTGTCAGGATCTGTCTCTCTCCACTGGCTTCTGTCCTGGTAGGAGCGTGAATATAATAATGGACAGGACTGGGCACCCAGGTGGCTCAGTGGGTTAAAGCCTCTGCCTTCGGCTCGGGTCATGATCCCAGAGTCCTGGGATTGAGCCCTGCATGGTATCTCTGCTCAGCAGGGAGCCTGCTTCCCCCCCCCCTGCCTGCCTCTCTGCCTACTTGTGATCTGTCAAATAAATAAATAAATAAAATCTTAAAGAATAATAATAATGGACTGGACTCTAGAGCTGCCTCTTCTCTTACCTGTCTCTGACTCAGACCACAGACAGATATGACCAGCTCGTGGGACCTTGGACAAATCCTTGCATCTGTGTCCTTGTCAGTGTTGGGGGTATGGTCCAGTCCATTCCCTAGAGCCTGAAGGTCACAGAGAAGTACCTTTCTCAGGGCTGCATAGCTGGGAACAGACTGAGCTTCATTCAATTCAGACTGAAGTCTCTCTAATTCCAGATGTCTTTCCCCTCCCTCCCTATTCTTTTAATTTAATATGTTCTTTCTCATTTTTTCTATAAAAGGAATGTATAACTTTTATAAGATCAGAAAAGCCAGTAATCATTATAGTTTAAAAACCTGTTCCCTAATTCCAAATGTCATGTTTGCCAGGCTGGCTGTGTCCTTACAGGTGGTTGCTTATAGCCCCGTCCACTCCCAGGCGCAGAAGTGCAGGCCAGTTAAGGACTCCAGGAAGGAAGCTGGCAGGTGCCAAAGGTCTCTCACCTCTGGTCCTGTGTACATAGTTTCCCTTCCTCCCTTCCTGTCCCCGCCCCCACCCCCATCTGGTCACCTCTCTACTTGACTCATCCTCTGGTCTCAGTTTAAATATCATCTCCTGCAGGGAACTCTCTTGAGCCCCTCCCCATCCAGCTGGGCTCAGTGTCTGTTCTATGTCCCCATAGTCTCTGTGTCCCCACCCCCATCCCAGTAGATATCTCACTGAAATGCCATCACCCGGTTGTGTCCCCTCGACTAGACTGTGTGTTCCCTAAGAGCAGAGCCCCATCTGATCATGGCTATACCTCCAGCAGTCAGCCTGACAAAGAGATAATGATTAATTTTTTTTTTTAATTTTATTTATTTACTTGAGAGAGAGAGGGAGCACAAGGGGACAGGACAGAGGGAGAATCAGAGCCTGAAGCTGGTAATCCCAGGACTCTGAGCAAAAGGTAGACATTTAACCAACTGAGCCACCCAGGTGCCCCTCAAATTTGTTGAATGAGAGGAAGGAAGGAAGGGGGGGAGGGAGGAAGGAAAGAAAGAAGGGAAAGAGGTTTCTACATTCTTTTTTTTTTTAAAAGATTTTTATTTATTTATTTATTTGACAGATAGAGATCACAAGTAGGCAGAGAGGCAGGCAGAGAGAGAGAGGGCGGGGGAGGAAGCAGGCTCCCTGATGAGCAGAGAGCCCGATGTGGGGCTCGATTCCAGGACCCTGGGATCATGACCTGAGCCAAAGGCAGAGGCTTTAACCTACTGAGCCACCCAGGCACCCCGAGGTTTCTACATTCTTAACAAGCTCTACCCTTGCATTATTTTTCAACTCAAATAAACATTTATTGACTGTCTTATGGGGTCAGGCACTCTACTTAACTTGAGGTGATTCTAATGATAAGCAAACTTGACCTAGGGAGAGAGACTATTTAACAAGTAAACAAATATATAAACATAACCTGTGGGAAGTGCCATAGAGAATAGGAACATGGGACAGATCAGAATTATAGGGAGGTGAAGGCTTTGGAGTGGGTCAGATCCATGTTTGAATTGGTTCTTGGCCACTCATCTGCTGTTTGGTCTCTGGCAAACCTCTTCACTTCCCTGGGCTTTGGTTTCTTTTTCTTTTCTTTTCTTTTTTTTATTTATTTGACAGAGATCACAAGTAGGCAGAGAGGCAGACAGAGAGAGAGGAAGGGAAGCAGGCTCCGGCTGAGCAGAGAGCTGGATGTGGGGCTCAATCCCAGGACCCTGGGATCATGACCTGAGCCGAAGGCAGAGGCTTTAACCCACTGAGTCACCCAGGCGCCCCTGGGCTTTGGTTTCTTATCAGGAAGAAGATGTTGCCGATGCCTGTCTCTAGAGGATGCCTTGAGGATATAGAGAACATTCATCCATTCAATAAATATGGGTTGAGTATATCCTATTGAGAGAAACAACTTGCTTAAATAGGCAATCTGTGTGGGATTTGAACTCAGGTCCGGCTGGGTCTTTGGATCTGGGTGATGATGGGGGGCAAATTCTAGTCTTATTCCCCTTGATTTGTCCCCCAGAAGTTGGGAGCAGTGATCTGTCTGATGATGAGCCAAGCTTTCTCACGCACAAGTCCCCCTCATTCAGTCTAAGGCACCTGAAAGTACTAAGAGAACACAGGAGCGGGGGAGGGTCCTCCATCCTCCTCCTCCACAGGAAATCCTCCTCCTGGACATCAAGTGAGTGCTGCTCCCCCATCAGCTTCCTCTTCAGGCTGGGGCAGTAGTCACACTGGTTACACCTTTTTGGCAAGTCCTCCTGAGTCTAAGGTTTGCTGGGGTTCTTCCCAATCAGTCTCAGAACTGGTTCCTGGCCCTCCAGCCCCTGCCCCACCCACAACAGACATCTCCCATCTCTCATGGCATCTTGGAGCGGATGGAAACTGAGGCAGGGCCGTGGTGTCTGGGCCAGTGTTTGGAGGTGGTAGGGCAGGGTCTCCTCTAGTTCAGAGAAAAATGGGCTGAGCTCAGTCCTACTGTTTTACCAGGATGACTAAAGTCCCATTTAAGGAGGGTACCTTAATGAGGGGAGACGCAGGTATCTGAGTTCCCAGAGGGCATGAATGGTCCAGTTGGTCCCATTCAGTGGTCCAGATTCAGCCACTGACCTATAATGTGGCCTCGGGCAAGGCACCTCTGTACCTTCTGTGTATGTTTCCCTCCTCTGTTTCTAGATGTGGGGATGCCTACCTACTGGGAGGAGCAAAGAGGAACAAGGACGCAGAAAGAATTTTGCACACCGTCGGGTCTGGGGCTCCTTTGAGAAAACCGCGCCAGGCTCAGCGGCTGCGCTGTGGTTTGTTCTGCAAGCGAAGGGCTTCCTCGGTGGGGAACCAACCGGGCCAGATCTCCATCTGAACGCCGGTTACCGCTCTACATTAACCTTTTCACTGACCCAGGGAGACTGAAGATGGGGTCCTGGAGAGACTTGTGGCCCAAGAACCGATTCGGCCAAGCGGCAGGTGCGGTTCGGGAAGGAGCACTGCGCAAGGAGTCAAGTCTCTAGAGTTCTAGTCCAGACTCTCACTGGCACACAGTTGGCCTCAGGTACCCTCCGCCCGAACTTTCGCTGCGAGGCGACTGGAATCCATGATTTCTAGGCATCAACTGCCAGAGCTTATGACTCAGTGACTAGACCAGAGAAGATGCGGTCCTCTTCTACCCTAAATTTGGGGGAAGGTGGATGGGGACCGGATGCCCCGGCTCGGCAGAGCGGGACAGAGGACCAGGGACCCGAAGGGTTAGGGAGGTGTCCTGGGAAGGCGGGGCAGGGGAGGCGGGTTCAGGCAGGCCAGTCTCTGATTGGCTGTGTTGCCCTTCGCTCCGCCCCGTGTTCTATAAGATGCACCCGCGGCTCGCGCGGGGGCTGCCGCGGCATCTCTCTCGCGTGCGCGGCTTCAGTCCTCCCCCTCGCGGGGGCAGCTGGCCTAACCCGAGGACAGACAGCAACAGACCGCCGGGGGGCGGGGGATGCCGGGCTGCCGCATCAGCGCCTGCGGCCCGGGGGCCCAGGAAGGGACCGCGGAACCGGGGTCCCCGCCGCCGCCGCCGCCCCGGGAGCTCGTGTCGTCCCCTCAGCCCCCGCCCCCATCTCCGACCTTGACTCCGACCCCGGCTTCGGTCTCTGCCCCGTCCGACTCAGCCCCGGTGTGGGCGGGCTCGGCGGAGGGGCAGGAGCTGCAGCGCTGGCGCCAGGGCGCTAACGGGGGCGCGGGGGCTACCGCTCCGGCAGGGGGCGCGGCGGCGGGGGCAGCCGGGGGCCGAGCGCTGGAGCTGGCCGAAGCGCGCCGGCGACTGCTGGAGGTGGAGGGCCGCCGGCGCCTGGTGTCGGAGCTGGAGAGCCGTGTGCTGCAGCTGCACCGCGTCTTCTTGGCGGCCGAGCTGCGCCTGGCGCACCGCGCCGAGAGCCTGGGCCGCCTGAGCGGCGGCGTGGCTCAGGCGGAGCTCTACCTGGCGGCGCACGGCTCGCGCCTCAAGAAGGGCCCGCGCCGCGGCCGCCGGGGTCGCCCGCCCGCGCTGCTCGCCTCGGCGTTAGGCCTGGGGGGCTGCGTGCCCTGGGGTGCCGGGCGCCTGCGGCGGGGCCACGGCCCGGAGCCCGACTCGCCCTTCCGCCGAAGCCCGCCCCGCGGCCCCGCTTCCCCCCAGCGCTGACCTCAGCGTCGGGGGCCCTGGTCACCCCCGACAGGCCGTCATCGAGGGGCCGGCCGACGGATTGGGACGTCGGCTGGATGGACGGCGTCACCGACGCGGATGGAAGGACTGACGGATCCCAGGAAGACACAGTCGGGGGGCCAAGGGCCCAGTAAAGGAGGCTGAGGTGCGGTCTGAGCGGCTAGTGCATCTGAGGGGGCGGGGCGGGGTGGTACCGGGCCCCGGATCTGCCTTCCATGGGGCTTCTGGAGTCCTCTGGGTCCCCAGTAAAGCTGGCCACTTTGTAACGGCCTCTCCCAGTCCTCCCGGGGGGTGAGGTGGTAGCACCAAGTCCCCATTATAGAGTTGGGGAAATTGAAGATGCTCAGATTCCAAGAGGGGTCTGCCGGCAAACTTTTATTACCAGTCGGAGCCTGCTGCACTGACCCAGGCCTCCTCCCCTCCCTTCCCCTCCCCGCCGCCCTCCCCCCCAATCCGCTTTGCCTTTCCTGGGTCCCTTGTGGCTGTAAGAAGAGTCTTGCCCTTGAGACTGCTGCTTTCTGGCACTGCCCAGCTCCACACCTTCGGGGAGGGCAGAATAAACAGGTCCCAGAATGGGGTGGGGTGCTGGGCCAGCGATGTACCACTGAATTCTCTCCTAAGCCCCTGCTTCCCATTTGGAGGGGGTGGCATCTCAGAGAGGTTATGGATTTGTTTCCATCATACTTAGGCCCTTCCACTTCGAGGAGACAGATCTTTTCTCATTGTCTCAAGCAGTTTTGCCAAAAGTAACTTAGATAACCAGGGTGGGGTGTTTGGTAACTGCCTAAGGCCTCACCTGCTCTCCTAGGGGACCCCCTCCCAACCTGTGTCTAAGATGGCTTTGCCAGGGATGGAACCAGGTTACATCCTTTAACAGGCCCCAAGGGGGCAGGTATGTCATTTGCTTCTAGAAAGGGGGGCCTTAAAGGGCCAGACCTGAAATGAGATTGACTTCTCTTCCTGTCCACATGCCCTTCAGGACCACCACCCCTCCCCGCCCCCCCCAGCTACGAATTGCCTGGCTGCTGCTTAGCCGCTCATCACCTGATTGGACTGCAGCCTCCCTTGTCAGCCTGTGAGGTGGTTGTCCTCAGCTCTGGGAAGGGCTGTCGTGAGGTTAACACAGGGAGAGGTCTGTCTTCTTCCCCCTTAAGTCACAGGAGGAATGGTTTATTCTTTCAAATCACACCTAGAAACAGACACTGCTTTTGCTGCTGGAGCTAGGAGCTAATTAAAAGTCCTCATTTTACAGAGTGGCAAGGTCACATGCCAGCACTGGACAGAACTAGGTCCCAGGCCTGTGTATGTCTTTCCCATGGTGTCTCCTTCCTGCCCAGGGGCAGGGGCTACAGGGAGCTGGTGTCCAGCCTGTCTGCTGTGAGACCTAGAACAACTCTGCCTCCTCTCTGGGCCAGATTTCTCAGTCCCTCTCTGGATATAGCTGTCCTTCCTCATGTCAGGGCTTGGGAATAGGGGAGAGGGGGTAGGATGAGAATGTCAGAGTCATAGGAATCTGGTTTAATTCTAGAGTCTTGAGGGTCAGGTGCACTGCTATGAAAGGCAGACCCCCGGGGGCCCTCACCTGACTCTCTTTAGCCCTTCCTTTTCCTCTCCTCGGGTACAAACTTTGGGGCTGGTTTCTAACATCCAGGCCTTTCCAAACCTCATTCTTAGCTGGAGTAGGGAAGTCCAGGAGGAGGTCTCAAGGGGTCTGACAGCATGGGGACCAGGAGAGCAATGAGGGGCCCTGGCATCCTCTGGCCTCCGTGGAGAGGAAGAACCTTCTGAAACTACTCAGTTCATTCAGGGTCTAGAGGCCCAGAGAGAACAAGGACTTCTTGGAGGTGACAGCGAGGAGCTCCAGCTGCAGCGCTGGGCTGCCGCCAGGACTGGTGGTTTTCTGCGTTGTACGGGAGAGGGATGCTTGGTCCAGAGAAGCTTTTAGCTAGTGGTGTAAAGTGCTCTGTGCCATCAGTGTTGCCTTTCTCTGGGATTTAGCATCATCAGCTTTGTCCTGATTTGGAGAGGGGGTGGGGAATGAGGGATTAGAGATGGCTCTTGATGGAGAAAGTGATGCATGTGTGTGGGAGATGGAGATTCGTCCTAGTGTCACAGGCAGCCCTGTCCCCCTCCCCCCTTCTAGATGTTCCACTGCCTTTCACCAAGGGCCTTGACTGGGGAATACAGTGCTCAGTGACTTGAACCTCAGCTCATGGTTCAGTGCTCTGCCCACTACTCCTCAGCCAACTAACAAAAGTCATTTTCCCACCCCTGTCTGAGCCTCCCAGCCTCCTCTAGGAGGCTCTGTTTTCTCCTCAGTCAACAAGCACTGGTATCTACTCAGTCCAGGGGCTCAAGAAGGGGCAGAGGGTCTCTGCTTTATTAAGGGTTCCAGCCTTCATCTAGGCAGCCTTCCCTGGCAATCACTATCCCAGGAGACCCTCTGGGGCTGGGCAATTTGTGTTGTTAGAGGGCTATTTTTAGGCCTTCACAAATAACTATAGCCCCTGGGTCTGGTGACTGACACCCCTCCAGCCCCCCACCCCCGCGCCGCCGGAACACTTTCTTGATGGCCCCAGCGTTGGGGGTCTTAAGAACTTCGATGGTCAGCAGGGAGTCTGGGGTTTCAGCAAGGGGAAATGAGATCGGGAGCCCTTCTTCAGGCCAGCTTTTGGGGCTGAGAGAGTGTTCAGTGTTCTAATTTAGAACTTGCCCTTCCCCTGGATGAGCCCTTCCCTTTTTTGGAGGCCCTTAGCCCAGTGAAGGCATCTCTGGGCGGTGCCACCAGAGGGCAGTGTGGGGCTGCTTCCCGGGGCTTGGGGGCTTGGGGGCGTGGCCTGGAGCAGGCTTGGTCCCCGGGGTCCCCACCCCCGACCGGCCCCCTCCGGTCCTGCCTAGCCTTGCTAGGCCTTGAGTTAAGGATCTGGCAGAATGATCGGGGCGTGGCAGTCGTTCGGAGAAGCGTAAGTTTGGGCCTGTGGTTGGGCCCGGCCCCGGACTTCAGGAGGAAGGTTCATCTAGAAAGACTTTCCTGGAAAAAAGGTTGCCCCTGTTGGCAGTCTCCGTCTGATTTGTTACACTGATAATTGATCAGAATACCGCATTCTGCAGCCATCTGGGGACCACAGTGACTTCCTAGAGATCAGGCTTAAACAGGTCACAACTGCGGTGCTCCAAACCTGTAGCGGGCAGTCTCAAGGAGGCTTCCACACCCGCACCCCTTCCCCCCAGCCCCGCGCCGCCCTCGCCAGGTCCCTAGAGAAAATCCAATAGCCCAGTCTTCTCAGAGATAAAAGAGAGGCTCTTGCTTTACAGTCAGGAGGAGGGGGGAAATCAGGGAAATCTCCAGCCTATTTCTTCCTGCATTAGTGCTTGACCGAAGCCTGGCCAGATTCCTTGGTTCTGGAATATATTAACCATCTCCATGCTAGGCACTGTGCTGAGCACTTTATCTGTTTTATTCCTCCCAGCTACTCTGAAAAGTAGGGGTTACTATCCCCATTTCCATGGATGAGGAAACTGAGGATCAGGTAGGGCAGATGACTTGCCTAAGGACCTAGAACCTGTAATGAGGGGTCCTTTAAACATTATGTAGCTTTTCATTTACCAGGATAGTAAGGGCTCCATTTGAGGGGCTTTCTGGACTCTTACCCTTTATGTCTGAATACCGTGGTCCCTGGTCCTCAGATCTGGGAGAGATGTGATGAAATGCTGGAAGGGTGGCCAAAGGTGTACCCCTCTCCCCAATCACCACCGCCAAGGTCTGGGCACATACCCAGAAGCTGGCTCCTGTCCCTGGTTGTTTGGGCTCTGGGGGGGGGGGTGAGTCAGGTTGAGTCAGCACACCTAGCTTCAGGCAAGGGCAGGCCAATGATGCTCAGGGCCTGGGCTTGCCTTGGAGGGCTACCTCCTCTCCCTGCACACCTGGCTGTAAGGTTTCATGCCAAGGAGAGTAGAGAGCCTGGGATGGCAGGAGAGAAGGGTGACAGGCTCCATGGTGAGGGCAGAAAGCACCCCAAGCTTGGAATAAGACAGATCTGGGATTCAGTGTTTGCCTATAACTTCTCAGCTGGAAGAAGTTGGACAAATGACTTCCCTTCTCTGGGCCAGTTGTGTGTGTGTGTGTGTGTGTGTGTGTGTGTGTGTGTGTGTGTGTTTTATTGGGCAGCTGGAGAGAGGATAACTCCTGACTGTTGAATGAGAGGTCACACTAAGCACATAGTGGAGATTCATAAATGTTTGGTAGAGGCAATCTGCCTAGCCCAGGAGAGGCTGCTAGGACAGAGACCCCAGGCATCGCTTTGGGGCTTTGCTTTCCCAGAGCATCGCCATATCAGGAATCCCTGGAATGATCCTCCTCCCCCCACTGTGGGCCCTGGGGAACTCCATAAGGAGAGAGGTGGAGGAGGGGCAGGCTTTTCTTCCCAGGAACATTCCATTCCAGCTGCTCAGACCCGTGGGGATCTCAGCCAAGGAAAAAGGCCCAAGGGAACCTCTGCTTACCCAGGAGCCCCCAACTCTTCCAGGACGGGAGCCATGGAGCCCTGCTCCATAATATTATCCTGTACCTTGTCTCTACAGTGGGCCCTCTTGACGCAGACGTTGAAGGGTTTGGGTGGGGCTGGTCACTGTGGGAAGGAGGTAATTAAAGCTCTTGAAATTATTCTTTCCAGTTCCTCCCAGTTCCTCAGAGCCTCCACTCTACGGATCTGGACTCCTGGATTGAGCTCCTGCCGTGGGCATCTCCTTCAGGAAGACGTCCCACAACCCTACCCAACGGAATTGATCCCATACAATCTTGGCACTGTCCTCCCTTCACAGAGGCCTTGCACTCAACAATGGCAAGGCACTGGGTTCTGGGGAAGGTTCCTGTACTCTGAGTTAGTTTCCTTAATAAGCCACATTTGATTTTGGCTGGCACTGTATGCTTGGAAATGTTACAACAGGTCCTCTGAGATGCAATCAGATTATTTAAGAAGGCAGCAAACATTTCTAATGTGAACATGAAAAGGATTTCTTTTTAAATATAGTCGTCGTTCTTAAGTCACAGTGCAGCTGGGGTCTGCATTTTGGTCAATGTCACGGCTTCTCACTCTGACAATGCTGGGAGGCCTATTTGAGAGGAAACGTTGGTCTGAGAAATCCCTGCTTCCTTCCCTCATTGTCCTTGTCCTCTCTGACTAGGGAGTGGCTGTGGACTCTCAGAAAGATGGCCTGCTGCTGGCTCAGGGGGAGGGGCACCTCTTCCTCAGAGAGACACAGCGGCAATGGCAACGTAAAAATTGGAAGCAAAGTTTAAAATGAAAAAAGGGAGCATATTTATTCAAATATCCTGATAAAAAAGGGAAGGGGGGCACATTTACTCACACACAACCCAGAATCTGTATTATTCACGAAATGAATGTCTCTTGAATCAGTCTCCTGATTTATACATTCAGGAAGAATAAATTTCAATAATATGAGACAAAGGCATGTGATTTTGAGGTTTGCTTTGCAAGTGTCCCTACTGCCTTTCCTTTGTATGTGTCTCTCATGACTCTTTAGGTTAGCCGTTCCTTGAGGCAATCTGGCCCTGTTGACTGACTTCAGACTGCTTTCCCCCTGGATCTGGCTCTGGGCTGACCCTCTCCAGGAAGTCTCCCCCAGTGAAGGATGTGATGAGGAAGCTGGGGGAGGGGACTGGGACCCACGCAGGAAGGTGGAACCCATCTGTGATGACAGAGCAGTGTGGTGATCCGTGAACGATTGTGTGTGACTGTGCTGGTGACCACAAGGGCCTGTTTGTCCGTCAGGGCCCCAGTAGGAGGCAGGGCACCCTCACACTGGGAAGAGACTTCAAAAGGGATTATTTCCAAAAATGTGGGCTTAAGAAAGGGACAAGGGATGGTGCAGCTCTCCAGGGCTGGCAATAGTGGGGAGCCTTTACGGTGGGGAGGGAGGGCACGGGACTGAGGGTGTAGCTGTGTGGGGAGCGCCCCTGATGGGGAGCAATGGCCTTTGGTTGAGAGATGCAGCCAAGCATGGCAGCCTGGTGGGGAGGAAGCTGGCGGAATAAACACCCCATTCTCCTTTCAGTCTCCTGGCGGGGCCTCTCACTGGCCTGCCGAAGGCAACAGTTAGGCTGAGAACAAGGGAGTCATTGACGCACAGTCCACAGAGGTCAGCCTCCCGGGGCTCGGAGCTTGGAGAAGGGTGGAGAGCTTGGGGCTGGAGGGGCCAACACATCATATCGCTGCCTGAGGGCATGTCTTCTGCTCCCCAAAGTTCACAGCGGTGCCTCTTCTCCCTTTGGAGCTCCCCCACCCTCCGTGGCCCATAGGGGCGGGTGAACTGTGGCTGGGGAGCTCTGTGGTATGACGGGGGTGGGCTTTCCTCCCTCAGCCTTCCCCTCTCTGGCTCTGATTCCTAGTTCTGGATTTCCGCCTGTCCTGGCGTCTGAGGTGGCTGCGGGAACTGTCCATGAGAGAACAATGCCAGCCACTGAGTCATTGTTTTTCTCACACCCAGAAACACTGCACCAGCCCCAAACACACCCACAGGCGCACCTGCTGCCACCATGGGCCTTCGGCATCGTCACCCCAAGCCACGGCTGGTGTCATGTACATCAAGAAAATGTACCTCTCCCCACACTGCTCCACTGCCCTCCCCCAAATGGTCAATGCACAGAAGTACAAACCGTCACCTGCCAAGCACGCCTCATCATGGACGTGGGCGGGGGCAGAGGGACCCGCTCAGCCACATGGAATCGGAGCGGAGGGGCCGGAGGGCACAGGGGTTGACGGGAACATGCCCACACCTCCCTGACCCTCCGGCACCAGCTTCCTTGTCTGTAAAAGTGGAAATAATCGCTCTTCTCTCAAGGATGAAGTGGGAGGTAGTGACCGTGAAGACTTCAGCTTAGTGCTTGGCCCTGAGAGAAGACTCCAGAAAGGGCAGGTGCTCCTGGGAGCTCCGGGCTCATGCTCTCCCACATCTCACACCCGTGTGTGTCGCAGCGGCAAGAGTGTGCACGCCTGTGCAAGGCCAGCCAGACACCCTCAGGCACATGCGCCCTCCCCCAGACACGCCTGCTGGTTGCATGTGCCCATGAACAGATTCCCTCTGCCCGGAAGCTTTCTCCCCAGACATCGCAGGGCTTGCCAGCCACTGCCTTTGTGTCTTTGTTTGATCAAATGTCACCCTCGATGAGGTCCGCCCTTTTTAAAGTCACGTACCCTGGCACTTCCAATCCTTTACCCTGCCACATACTTTTAAGCATCATTGACCTTCTAAGACTGTATCATTTTGTTTATTTTCTGTCTACCGTATTGGAGTGTAATCTGCAGGAGAGTCGGGAATCTTGGTCTTTTGTTTGCGGATGGATTCCAGCTCCTACTGCTTGCTTTATATAAGGCGGACGTCCCCTCATGCCCACACCAGGATCTGGGAGAAACAATCTCTCCCAAGCCCCCAGCTGGGTGGGCGCAACCAGGGTTGGGGTGGGAGGGGCTGTTTTCAGTCACCAAGCCAAGAAAGTCTTAACTACTCACCCTTCTAGCCCTTTTGAGCCCTGAGGGGACTCACCGAGCAGATGAGGTGACTGGACTCACCCAGGTCACCTGGGGCCTCCTCGGAGGCCTTGTTTTTTTCAGCCTGGATGGAACCATCAAAGCCACCACTTCAGAAACCACTAATGAGGCTGAATATGTTAAGGGCTTTGCCATCCCTGGATCAAAGGGGCTGGGTAAACAGTGGGCAGCGTCCAGGCCAGTGACTGGCTGATGGCCCGAGGGAAGAGCTCCCAGGGAGCCTGGCATGGCCCCCAGCTGGGTTTGGAAAGGAGACCCTGCCCTTCTAGGGGACCCGTTTAGAACAGGCCAGAGTGTGCCCATTGCACTTGGGAGTAAGAGAGGACGGATGGAACCTTCCTCCCAGGTAGGGAGGCCAAACCTGGGCTCTCGCTCTGGAGGACGCTAGAAGTCCCCGAGTCTCAGAGGCCACAGCTGAAGGGCTCTCCAATCCACATTCACTCAGCTTGTCCTCCACCGGCTTCCCGAGAAGGACTGGGGCTGGGTGGGCCAAGGGTCAAGAAGCCCTGAGCACTGGAGTGTGAGGCCAAGCCCAGGGTCATTAGGACTCCAGGTGGGAAAATGCTGAAATATTTACTCTTTAACAAGAGACTTGCAATTTGCAGGTACAAGTCACATGTGTAGACATGAGCTCCTAGCACAGTTCTCCAGCTGGGGCTGGTGTTGAGGGAAGGAGGTGAAACTCCCCAGCTACAGCCCAAGACTCAGACTCCAAGCCACCCCAATGTCCCTAACCCCCAAATATAAGCCAGAGGAGGGCTGGGAGAGGCAGCCAGAGCCCCCACAGCCATGGAAGGTCCTTCTCCCAGGAGAAATCATGGTGCTAGGTTTAGTGTAGACAATCTTTATTGGCAGGTGTTAAGAGTGCAAAATGGTGACAAATCCAGAGGGATGGGAAAGGAGGTGGGGCATGGTTCCCCACCAGGCCACTGGGGTGGGAGCACTTGACTGGTCACTTTGGGCCCAGCACCTTTCAAAGAACGAACTCCTAGGCGGAGGGATCCCCACACCATAGGGGAAGGGAGCAATACTCTAGAAGGGGCGTGGGCCGTGTCGTACGCCGGCAGCTCAGCTCCTGCTCACCCGCACACCTGGATAGCTTGGGGTAAGGGTGGGCTAACCCTATCCCTCTGCAAAAGCTGCGTCCTGCCTCAGCTTCCCTCTTCCCAGTGCTTAGTCTGGTTGGATTGCCAGGTCCCGGCAGGGGTCTAGCCCAACCCAGAGTACCCAGAGTGAGTAGTTCCTATAACATACCATATTTTAGGCATTGTATGGGCTGCAGGCCTTCTGAGGCTGCTGGGATCACTGTGGGCTGGCTTTCCCCAAAAAGACCCTTTCCGGGCCACAGAAATCAACCTGAGACCTTCTAGGCCACAGAAATCAACCTAAGGTGATGAGCATTGAGGCTGCCAGCCCAAACATGCTTTGTCTCCTGAAGGCAATGGACCCCCAAGACAAACAGCCCCTGCACCCCACCATCATGCTGGTCCAAAAGTGGGGTACAATAACCCACAGGTCTATCAAGAACCCCGGCCTGGTCTGAACCCCCACCAGGGGCCTCATTCGGGGATGAGCCATGTCTGGTCTGTTCAGTCAAAGGCCCAACCCTGCAGCAGTGCTGGGCCACTCGGCACAGGCTGCTGGTCTCTGGTCACATCTCCTACACACTCCTGGGGGCCCCACATCCTGAGGAAAGGCCAAGCACCTTCTGGCCAGGGTCTGAGTCAGTTACAAGGCAGCCAGGTGGGATACGAGTGGGCCCGAGCCAGCAGAGGCTGCACAGGAGTCACGTAGTAACTGACGGTGGCAGGCACGACCCCGTCGGGGCCTGGGGGGCGCCAGGCCAGGGCAGCAGCTGCAGCCGGGCCCTGCTCGGCCAGCGCCTGGAGCGCCAGCATGGCGATGAGGTCCAGTGTCTGGCGACGCTCGTGGCTCATGAGGCACACAGTGCTCTCGTTGACCACCCGGTGCAGCGTCATGAGGCAGGCGTAGCGGCGGGCCGAGTCGGCTCCGCTGAAATGGGCCTCCAGGTAGCGCTCCAGTGTGCGCTGCTGCTCCACCAGGTCTGGGAAGTCGATGAAAAAGCGGGAGCACATGTACCGTTGCAGGGCGCGCGCGTCGGTGCCTGGCTGAGGCCGGAAGCCCCGCACCAGCAGGTGGCAGTACTTGAGGAGGCCACCGCCACGGATCTCTTCGGGACTGCGTGTGGCAATGATGCGGCGCCGCAGGTGGTCCAGGGCCTCGGCAAAGTCCCCGTACAGGCTCTCACCAGTCACGGTCGGGTGGAAGGCCTCAGACATGGGCGTGGATGAGCACTGGCCAAAGAGCAGCAGGGAGTCCAGGATGATCTGGAAGGAGTCCACGCTGAACTCAAACTGGCGCCGGACCGAGTCCACAAACTTGAGCTCCATGTTCTTGCCGCTCTTGTTGGACAACGAGATGAGGCTCCAGCGGTCT